GTGTTGAACTTTTCTTCCAGCTATGTTGCATACTGTTTCTTGTTTGATGTTTTGGTCACACTTTTTAATATGTATAGTGTGCACTGACAGATCGAAATGGATCTCCTGTACTCAAGACGCGTACGCCTACAGAACTCGAGAAAAATTTGAAATGGATGGATAATATTAACGATGTATTATAATATTTGCATTGATGTAGCTAGAGATTTTATAATTATTACATTTCGTAAGAAATGATTTCGGTACTATTCTCCGAATTTTCACTATATCCCTTTTCAGTAAAGCATTAATGATGTCTTGCTCAACACAACGTAGGTGTACCAGTCACATTAGACCCACAAACTTTCACGATGAATTCCCATCTATGTAAATTATGAATGTTGCACGATTCAGGACCGAGTGATAATAGTGTGTTTTAACAATAATTAGTTATCACAGATGGTTTTCTATCTATTGTTAGCAGTGTGATGGAAGTTACTATATTTGATACTCTAGGTGTCAGTCTGCAGTTTTCTAGATCATTTTCAGACAAATCCATTATGATATGGGACTTTCCAGAAGGTAGGTAGACAATATAAGTGGACAAATACATGAGAGACGGAGTGTGAAAGGTACATTTTCGTCTATCCAACCTAGGCCTATTTCGGATGCTTGATTACTGTCGCCACTTGTTAATTAACATATATTGTCACTGATTTATCCGCTGTTGCTACTATTATTGCATTTAATACTTCCATTTAGTTGCAATGTTGAATTGTGTAGTGCCAGTCGAATGTGCACTGGTATCATATTTGTTTGCAATGATTTCTATCGATTTCTAAACCTAGTTAATTTCAAAATACAATCACAGTTCTTGTATATATTGGTTTGACACTGAATTCTTTTGCGTACGGATTTCACGGTTATCTTACAGATTCTAATTGAAAATGACGAGCGAGTTTAGTAAGGAGTTTAGTAGAACAATATTTCTGTTAATGTTATAAATATTTAATATCACGGCGTATGGGAGAAAACTGAGACATGTCTATGATTCTATGAGACACAGTGACAAGGATGTTTACTTCCATTTTTAGTTAAATACACTTCACGATATCCGACTCTTCTTGTATAGACATCCTGCTATTAACGTTTGTTACAGACTGTTACACAGGAACCCCAAGCAATGTACACCTAATGAAGGTTGCTTACTTTAAAGATAGGATATCCAGAAAACGACAATAGCCTCCTGTGACTGACTTTTCAATCATAACATTCTGTCCTGATGAGGCATGGTATTTTAAGCATCAAGCATTGATCCTACACATCCGTTATTCTCCATCATTGCCAACTGTTTGTCTCATTCGCTGCTGAGTTCCACGACCTTCAGTGTCACTGTTTGCGTGTGTACCCAGCAACTGTATGTATAGGGTGTTATGCTCCTGCGAAAAACATTAAAAGAGAACAATAGAATGTGAAAACTGAAATGCTTCTGCGAATACAACAGAGTATTCGTATCTACAGACTGAAAGTTGCCGAGCGGTTCATGTGAAGCATAAAATTAAAATCCCCAGCGAAGTGTTCTGGATCTGGCTCTAAAACTGTCAAAATAACCCATGCAAGTTGCGCATGAGAACTGCTAGTCTCGTTTTGTTCACATTATGTAAACCTTGCATTGCAGTTGTTGTGCTGTTGTTACAATCATCACTCACAGTCCCATTTTATTACCTATGAAAGCATTTGAAGGGCAGTATTGGTTTTAAGTTGCATTCCAGCATTGAAGTCACCTTAACCTGGCTTGTATTGGCAGTAACAGGGATGTAGGCTGTATCACGGGATTCAGGTGGTGAATTCCTAGATGGTAGCAATAGCATTACATCAAGGCAGGGTACAAAGTCAGACCACTTCATCAGTCTTTTGTCTAGTCACGTTTTTTCCCACGTGCTGAATTAGAGATCAAGGACAAGTGTGAGGAAAACCACTGCATCATAGCAGAGTCATGATAGTCCTGATGCTTCGTTGTTGCTGGTGTTGGCGGTGGTGGTGGTACTGCTGCTGGTACTGGTGGTGGTGGTGCTGGTACTGCTCGTGGTGGTGGTGCTGGTACTGCTGGTGGTGCTGGTACTGGCGGTGGCGGTGGTGGTCGTGATGGTGGTGGTGCTGGTGGTAGTACTGGTGCTGGTGGTGGTACTGGTACTGGTAGTATTGGTGGTGCTGATGGTGTTGGTGGTTCTGGAGGTGGAGATGGTGGTGGTGGTGCAGGTGCAGGTGGTGGTTGTGCTGTTGGAGGTGGTGGAGATGGTGGTTGTGGTGGTGCCGGTGGTGGTTGTGCTGTTGGAGGTGGTGGAGATGGTGGTTGTGGTGGTGCAGGTGGTGGAGATGGTGGTTGTGGTGGTGCTGGTGGTGGTACTGGTACTGGTGTTGGTGGTGGTACTGGTAGTATTGGTGGTGCTGATGGTGTTGGTGGTTCTGGAGGTGGAGATGGTGGTGGTTGTGCAGGTGGTGGTGGTGGTGGTTGTGCTGTTGGAGGAGGTGGAGATGGTGGTGGAGATGGTGCAGGTGGTGGTGGTGGTGGTGCTGTTGGAGATGGATATGGTGGTGGTGGTGGTGCAGGTTGTGCCGGTGCTGCTAGAAGTGGAGATGGTGGTGGTGGTGCAGGTGGTGGTTGTGGTGCTGTTGCTGTTGGAGGTGGAGATGGTGGTGGTGCAGGTGGTGGTGGTGCTGTTGGAGGTGGTGCTGGTGGTGGCGGTGCTGCTTCTGCTGATGGTTCAAGGTGACAAACTCAGTTCTCCTAAAAATGAAAACAAGTGTAATCGTTTGCCTGTTCTATAAATTATTTATTTCACGTTTGTACAAATTGTGAAGCAACATATAGTACCGTTGGGACATTGGTCTATACATCTACTCAAACGGATCATACACATTGGGAGGACGACGTTTATGGTGATGAAACTATTGCTTGTGAACATGTATACTGCCGTCAATTTTGCCCAAATCTCACAGCGGTGATCAATACACCTTCGGTGACAATGCTAGCCTAGTGATTAAAACGTTCGCTCTAGTCACAGCGAAGACCCAGGTTCCATTCTTCACCTAGGTACAATGTGTTCCAAGTCGTGGTATTGCCAGAAAATTGCTGAAAGCGGGCGAAAAGCATAACTCACTCATTGATATCTACGGATAGACATCATAAACGCACGTTACGCTGGGCCCTGTTCCTCAAAGCGTTACGTTACTGCTAAGGTTTTCGTAGGTCAATAGTAAATTTGAGGCAGCACCATCGCCGTTGTTAAAGCATGTGAATTTAACTGCTATTTCTGAAGCTTGAATAATGTGCATCAGTATCAATGTAAATATGGAAATAAACGATGTTCCTCTATAAAACATTTATACAGCTTGATAGATTTTCACTTCACTTCGACGTATATGCTGACTGTCAAGTCTTTACTGCAGCCGACCTTTACGTTTATCTGATTATAAAAAAAGTGTAGCTGACTTGCTGTTATATTTAAAACCAGAGTGGCACGATCAGTTACATTTTCCTGGAGTATTCTTTCAAGTTCACCTGTCAACTATCAGAATTATCGCTATATGGCAAGAAGTAACATATTCACCATTAATTAGGTTAATGAATGTTTGGATGTGACAAAATGGTAGATGTTATTTCATGTTTTATATTCTGAAACACCAGGCATCAATTGTGACGTTATGTTTCGCCATATGTTATTTAATAAACAACTTTGCCCTGATGCTGTGTCCGTGTTTTTACGTATCATCCAAGTGGTATGTGTCAAGGTTTGCATTACACTGAGAAACCCTGATACAGTTCAGTTCATATTACTCAAAGTGTCCGAGCACCCAATTGAAAGGTGATAGTCAACTGGTGGGCGTGTAAACTAACTTAACATAGAGGGGGCACGAACAACAGCAGTCGTCCAAGGCGCCGCAATTAGCTTGCAGAGTTGCCTCCCTTGGACACTCCAGAACCCTATGGTTGTTGGTTTGACTTCATGTGTATAGATATTGCCGACTTGGGGAACTTGAAGAGTAAAATAGCAGCAATATCTCCATAGATCAAATCAGTCTGGCCGTCTGAAGTTGACAAGGATAATGTCAGAGGCACTCCACATCGGTACCCCAAGGGAACTACAACTCTTTGACTACCACGATCTATCGTACTTTATGGCTTCTATGCCCCCTTCCCCAACTGCCACGAGTATAAGGGACCCACAAGACGCCGTGTCCGCGTGTTTGTTCTCATAACCGACTAGCTACTTCAAGTGCCTTCACCTTAACCAGTGGGACTCCTCCGGACAATTAGGACCCATCGGAGTCCCTGAAATATGATAGAGTGAACTGTGAGTAAGGATCTTTATCGCCCTACACAACATGCTCCAAGCGCCGCTGTCGATGACTGTTTGTCGATAGCTGTTTGTCGATAAATCGTATTCAGGGGGCTCATCTCCAGTAGTATTTATGCGTTGAAAAAATTGCAATCTATTTCCGGATGTGTCCACTTAGTGGCTGCAAAGAGGATGTGGTCATATCAAAGACGATACCCTGTGGCACTGTTCGCGTGATGTAAATCTCGCCCATTGACAAGACGCTCTCGCATCCAATGGTTGTACACAAGGCGGCAGTCGTGGGTCAGTGACTGGTCATTTGACAGGAGACGCAACACACTCGGTTATATTTGGGAACAGTTGGGCAATCATCTCCATACATAAACATGATAAATACGAGAAAGGGCCAGCGACGCGGAAATTGCCTCCCAACTCCGTAGCAACTCGACTCTGTTAGCTATCGCTTCAGCCGAGATCGAACCTGAGCAATGTCCTGATTGGCAATTAGACAAGTTCCTCGGAAGGTCTGACACATCCAGACTGACATAGCAACTCGTGCCGAGTTGGAGTGAAGTAATTGACGGGTAGCAAGACCGTCGGCTTGTGACCTATTTCCCTCGCTCGCCTCATCGCCTCCTCGCTTGACTAGCGGGACGGACGGACACAACCGCCACTGTTGCCTCAGCCACACTGTACACGGTCTTGTACTCACGTGAAGTCAGTCAGTCGCTTTAAGCACTACTGGAATACGAAAGTTGTTCTTAGTCTGCGGATTGGAGTATGCGTCGCGGCGAGAGGAGCAAACCTAAGGGAGCGGTATTAGCAATACAAGCTTTGCTCAAAGACCTGTGCAAGCTCCAACGGTAGGCATTCTTTATTTCTATCTGTCGATACATTGTGACAGTTGTCCGTCGCTTATGTACGGTTTTCGCTATTCACTGAATGGTGTATCGACCAGGTTTTTACCAGCCGTCGGCGGCTCTAGCCGATTTGCCTCGAGTTCTTCCTATGAAGTATGAAAGAACTCAAGCTACCTCTTATTGCTCACTATCTGAATGATATTACATGCATGTCGTGTTTAGATATGTATCTGCAGATTCGTACAGCTTCCTAATACTATCAGCTGATGTCAACAAATGTTTTTAATGCAATCACGTATCACGTTGCTTTTTGTGACAGAGTAGACTATACATGTATGTAATTAACACATAAACCGTGGATTATACCTAAACAACATGATTGAGCATATCTATTGTTTTAAAAGCCTGGGGGTCCTTACAACACTCAAATTGCCACTTATCACACAGGGATAACACAATCCTCCCAACAAGAGTGTTAGTGCAGTGCAGTGCAGAACACGTGGTAGTCTGTTTTGTTTACATTAGTCAAATGCTCTACAGTAGGTTAACGGTAACTCTACAGGTGGTTTACAATACACCTTAAGGTGTGTCGTAATATGTCAGTGCTAGTGATATGAAGTGATAAAGTGGATTACATTTATATGTTGATATACAAAAAATAAACATTTGATAACAGCTAGCATTACAAGAAACTACACACCGCTAAGAGCCTCCGGCAACACTCGACTAACACACTTGGTATTCAGTGACAAAGTAAATATTTATAGCGTCATAATTTAGGATCACATTAGGCAACCTGGAGAGGTTTATAACATCACGTATGTTATTTTTAGAGAATGTTGATCCATTAGACAGTTGCTTATCAGTACATATTGTTTATTGAAGATAAAGTTAAAACCAGTCAAGCTGAGAAAAGTAAGCAAGCATAGCAAAGGATAGTCCATAATAAGCAACAGAATGCAAAATGCATGGGAATAATCCATTGAATGTTATATACTGATATATCGAACTGCATTAGTATATTACGGTATTTCATTTGGGGCTCATTTGTCTAAATATGACCAAACTAAAAGGGATCATGAATAATTGCGGGATGTTCATTCTGTAGTGAAGATTGATAACGCAACTTCATATAAAAATCCCTTAAAATAATACCAAATTGAATCCGAACTGCAAATATATATTTATATTCTATGGGCATTTAAAAAAAGTCCTGTTTCTTGGAATTCTTATCCTATTTTTATATAAATTTTAAAAAGTCATGACTCATGCTTAATCTAGTTTTTCTTTACATAACAACGTGACATTCACAAATCCATGGCCTTCAAGACAGTGTTACCCATAAATAACACTGAAGTTAAGACTTAACGCGTGAAAGTGATATAACTATTATAATCCATCTCTGACACAAGTATGCTTCATAACTGAGCATCACGGTTTTTTGGTCCGGATGTGGACAAGAACAGAACAAATACGTCTTTGTTCCAAATCCAACATTCATAATCCTGACACTGAAATACATCCCACAGCAGCTTATGCCAGAACATGGAGACGCAGCAATGTAAGTGTAATGCATTACAGGTGTACCTTGCTGAGGTACGAATTGCCACCGTCGTGGCTCACTAACAACAGGTGGTTATCTTGTTGGCCAGATGGCTTTATGTGCGTTCTCATGCCGACTACTACAGCTTTGCACTTCAGATCGACCTTTCTACAAATAAGACTTTTCAACACAACGACATCAGTGTCAACGAAGCTGTTACATGTAGATAGATACTGGCCACTTTGGGCACAGTACTGACTTATCAGTCAATACTTTTGAATATGATATTAATAGAATATCATAACAGAAGCAAGCTTGATTAATGGTGCGGATAAAATGCGGTTTAAACGTATATTTGGTAAATGCATTATTGATTCACACATTTGTCTGCTCTGTGGAGTATAAAACCAGATTGAACGTGTTTCGTCATGACAGATTGGTAGAATGTTATAGATTTACCATTGTCAGTTAATTACGACATTTCTAATTACCCCATAGGCATGTTCGTTATACGCCGTTTTGTCGTAAATTGGAATACAAATTATAAAATCACTAGTAATCTGTAATAAATGTCTTTGATCAGATTCGCACCACGACCACAATGCCCCCTCACTAATTAATCTAATATATTCCCCATTGGGGAACGCCAGTGTAGAAATATCCCTTGACAGCTCAGGGGATAAATAACACGGACTTCATCGTGGTGGATTTATCATTTGGTTTGGTTAATTATGAAAGGATGAAACTGATACCATTATTTTGATTACTGACGAGAAACATTGCCCTCACATTATTTTCGACGAATCTGAGAGCTGTGAAGATCCAGGTTAGAATTGGTCTTCAGTAACCGATGCTCGTCGTAAGATTCGACTAACGGGATCGGGTGGTCTGGCATGGTATCCCATTGCGTAGATCGATGCTCATACTGTTGATCACTGGATTGTCTGGTCCAGACTCGATTATTTACAGACCCCCGCCATATAGCTGGAATATTGCTGAGTTCGGTGTTACACAACAGACAAACAAACCGAACACTGATCATGGGAGCAGAGTATCTTACCTCATTAATAATACATCAAATGATATTTAATAATTAATCATAATTAACCAGATTGTTGTATTTCTTGTGAATACCTCTGCAGACCTTGACAAGAGTAATATACCCTTAGCATGCATTGTACGTATAAGACTATGTTCCACACACTAAGAAACCTACCTACTCCTAGGATACAGCTTATGGCAGCATTATAGAAATCAGATACGACAAACACCCAAGCGCTGAACCTCGGGTATCAGTTTAATAAAATATAGCCACACAAAACATATCATGCAGTTAAGAAATGCTCCTTTTTCCAAAGCATACACTATGTATGGTATGAACCTCGTCGGTAAGCCAGCGAGTTGTACGAAACGTCCACGTTTATTTGATAGGTTTGTGTTCACGATCATTAGGAATTAAAAAGGTGCTATGAGCAATTCCAGTACTTTTATCAAGGCACCAGGATATCCGATAGGAAGCTGGTGAAGCTATTTCCGGCGTTTCTATTGTAGGTCGTGCATGATGCTGATATCAGATATCCTTGTAGAAAATGGAATAAAATATTCCCTTTCTTTCCATAGAATTTAGAATCGCGTTCTTGCGTTACTAGTGTAAAGATTCACTCGAGTCTATAGAGCAGGTTTTCTTTTAAAAACACTGATTCTTAGATTTTTTCCCATTTTTGTATTTGTCCTGTCATGTTGAAGTTTGCGAATCCCTAATTAATGACCGTTCTTTCAAAACGGTGTCGTATTTTTATGTTCTTAACGTGTAGACAAAATACCATGACGACGAGAGTAAGCGCGCAACTATCAAAGCATCACATACGGCCACTGAATATACTGAATAAGGACAACAGTGTCACTGTTTCACAGAATCAAACAAATTGTACTAAGTCGCCAGGTCGTGTGCTTTTCTGTGCATTATCATGAAGATAAGAAATGTTCTATGCACTCATACCTTTCTTTCCCGAAGGATAAGGGGGCGGTGGGATAGCCAAGGCGTTAAAGCGTTTGCTCGTCACCCTGAAGACCTGGGTTCGATTCCCCATATGGGTACAATGTGTAAAGCCCATTTCTAGTGTCCCCAGCCGTGATATTGCTGGAATATTGCTAAAGCGGCGTAAAACCATACTCACTCACTGGGAGGAGGAGGATAAGACCCAAGGATAAGGCACAGGTATCGTTCTGTGACTGGAATGTTCGTAAACACAAAACAAACCATCGTGAGTGCTCCGTAGTGGTAAGGTAATGGAAGCCAGTTGTGTGTTCTCGAACACAGATGGCATTGCTTTGAAGCATAGTGTCATGCCTCTTCCCGATGGCATTGTGTTATGCGTGTATTGTCCTGGCACACAGAAGCGCTGGCTTGGTTTCTATTACAAGGATGCTGGTCACACAGGGGACATTTGAGGATGCAGATAATACAATACTGCTGAATCTCCAGTCAGCAGATGCTGTAGAGGGAACTATGCATGTTCAGACGGAACAGTGACACAACACAACTAATTGACTTCCACAGACAGGAAACCCACTTACATACCAAGCGCGTCGTTACAAGAAATGTTCTTTCAAGAAGTAAAAACGTTCAAAAACAATTATTGTAAGGATAATTGTGATCTATGTTTAGACCACCTAACTGGCAGGTTATTTAATCTATTAGATTTCGAATCCCTGCAGTCCTGAAGTGTTGAAGTATCCAAAGGATCTATATATGCTTACTGATTGTTAAAGAAAAACTTAAAGAGTAAAATTATTATATTTCTTATTAAGCTAAAAAAATAATGTATATTTTATTCAGTTTACGAATATTGAGAGAGATGAAAGCTCATGATGACCTTATAGGTGGTATATAGCTAATCCCCCACCACCCCCTCCACCCCACAGCTGATATAAACGGAATACTGATTTGTGTGGCGTCAAATCCCAACTCACTCACTCCAACTATTTCTGTCGTCGATAACGTATTGGATGATAATCGAAAACAGTTATCCGGGCTTCAAAATCTTCCACCTGAAACAACCTTCAGTACCTACCTATTCATAGGCTTCAGTATGGAAAATTTGAAAATGTTGCTGGTATTACTGTTGTGTCCTAACAACAGCAATTAACAACATTAGAATACGCTGATCTGTAAACTTTATAAAGAAGCACGCCCGTGGGAAAACTGTTAAAATAATATATAATATGAACGTATTATAAAGAGAAATAATCGAATTCCTCAATTGTAGCCTGAGGAATATTAAATCTTTCTGTCGAGACACATATTCGAAACCACATCATGTAACTGCAATAACATTTTTTGCTCTTAAAATGACGTAGTGTTGTACGGAAAACAATTGACGTTTCGCCAATATTGTAGAGAAAACAGTTCCAAATATCACTTTTGATGGATGAGATAAGACTTATTAAAACGCCATTA